CCATTCTATAAGGAGGAATAGAGATAGGTTGTGTATCCGGGAGAAGGACAATTCCAAAGTCTATTTCCCTTTCGGGAGGAATAACGGGTAAGTCATCGGGGAAAACTTCTAGAAACTCTTTTACCATGGGGACCGACTCAAGACTTGGGATTTTGGATTCTAAATCCTTCACCCTCACTATATGGTAGACACAACCCTTAGAAATCCTTTTCCACACTTTTAGGTAGGAAAAAATCGACCTCTAGGCATAAAATTTCCCCCCTTCGACTCAAGGATAGGCTCATTTGGAAATTGAAACTTGACCACTCTAGTCCTACAATCAATAGATGCATAGCAAGAATGCAACCAATCCATGCCCAAAATAACATGGAAGTCAATCATATCAGGTTCCACAAAATCTACTTGAGTGACCCTATGAGAAAAGGAAATGGGACATCTCCTACAGACTCTTTTAAACACCACAGAATAACCAATGGAGGTAGAAACAGAAAAAGGGTCTGACAACACTTCGAGGAGCATATCAAACCTTATAGCAATATAAGGGGTCACAAAGGACAGAGTTTCCCCTGGATCAACGAAAGCATACACATAATATTGAAAGACTTTTAACATATCCGTTACTACATCTGGAGAACTCTCTTGATCACCTCTAGTATGGAGAGCAAAGAAACGGGTTTGTTTTGGAGCATTTCCACTTGAACCACTTGGACCGGATGAAGGGTAGGTTTGAGCCCTACGACAAGTGTCTCCGTTATTTTTAGTAACCGAAGGGTAATTTCTTATTTTATGATCCATTTTTTCACATTTGAAACACGCATTAGAGCCCGCTAGACACTTCCCTTCATGATTTCACCCACATTTAGCACAAGTAGGCGTCAGAGGCCTATTACCATCTCCTTGTGGTTTTGGGTTAGACACCCAATCATTCGTTGACCTCGGAGGAGAATTTGTAGAACCTTGCCTAGAGAAATTTTGACGAAACCTTGAACGACCCTGTCCACCAGACCTAGCATGAGAATAGTTACCATCATCCACTCTAGCCCTTTTTATCTTCCTAGATCCTTCCTTGAGCTTTTCTTCCTTAATTTGTGGGGCATGCCATAAAGTAAGAAATATCGATGTCATGGACAAGCATAGCAGTGTGGCACTCTTTGAATACCATGTTGGATACTCCCAACACAAACTTACTTATCTTGGCCCTACGATCTTCCACAATGGAAGAAGCATACATGGATAGTTGAGTGAACTTCAAAGTGTATTCCCTTACACTCATATTTACTTGCCTAAAGTTGATGAACTCAAGTAACTTGGCCTCTCTCATCTCTAGAGGGAAGAATCGATCAAGAAATTCACTTTTGAACCTTTCCCATTCTATGGGACCCGCTTCCACCGGCCTTGCCTCTTTTCACTGATTGAACCAAATCTGAGCAACCCCATTGAGTTGGTAAGAGGCTAGTTCCACCTTATCTACCAGAGTCACACCCATAATAGGAAGTATCTTGTAGACTTCATCGATAAACAACTGAGGATCTTCTTCAACCTTTGAGCCATAAAATTTGGAAGGGTTTATCCTTGTAAGATCTCGCACTCTTGTCGCCGCCGTACCCACATTTGGGTTCATAGGAGAAACCACCTCTCTATTGTCTTGGACCATCGGGGCTTAAGCCAACACTTGGAAAGCCGATGTAAACTCCGCAATTGTAATATTATCAGCCAACGGATCAATCGGAGCTTGAGAAGGAACCTTTTGATTGACATTGTCTCCCTCAATCCTTCTAGAACTAACCCTTCTAGTATTGATATCCTTAAAACCATTAGGTAAGGATTTAGAAAAAAGACCTTATACAGTTAAACTCCATGGCACAACTTGGAGAAGTAAAGTTTCCTAACATCTAATAGCTTCTTATTCATAAATATGGCGCGCTTCATACTTATGAACAAGACTCTACTAGACGTTGTTTGAGACATCCTAAAACCATTCTAAACCTTGTGCTCTAATACCAAGTTTGTCACGACCCAAGAGTGCCCCTAGATGTAACAAGGTGTATAAGACCCCAGGAGGCCTCACACAAGCCACTTAGCATATCATAACATAAATTGATAGAAAAGGTGCATCAATTTAAAACATTTCACTAAAATTAAAGTCTTTACATATAACCAAGCGGAAGTCTAACATAACATTGTCTCAAACCATTTAAACATAAGAAATAGAAATCTTGGGACACAGTCCATACAATAGTCGCAAACATAAGAGAACGACATAAAAGAGATAGGGTGATCTAATCCTCAAACACAATGAGGACTCACCAAAGCTTCACTTTACAATCATCTAGGAACCTAGACACAAGGGTGAGAATTGGGAACGCCGGACCCTATATTTGATAAAAATATAGGCAATAGTATGCGTTCGTACAATCAAGTACTAAATATGATGGCTAGCATAAACAACATAACATAAGCATTAGTCAAAATAAGACATAAGACATAATCATAATAATACATAATAAGAATCATAATGGAAGAGGAATACTCCCTTGAGTAACCTTAATTAACCTTTGCCAAGATTTAGGACATCCACCTCTAGTCAAGCTTTCATCATGGAAGGCATATCTAGCAACACTCCAAGTCAGTCAACTTTATAACATAATCTCATTAGTCATACTTACTTTTGAAGACATAGGGATTCACCTCAATGCCTAGTTCATAAAGGCTAACGGGTATTTCCCTCTTGCCTTACTTACTTTTTAGATTGCGGATACTCGCCTCCATAATCTCATTATATGATGTGGGTACTCGCCTCCACATCATTTCATAAGAATCATGGGTACTCACCTCCATGTCCATTCATCATAGTAAGAATATGGGGAATCACCTTTTGTTCACTATTAAGGAGTATGGGAAATCACCACATATCCTTCAATATGGAGGTCAAGGGTAGATGCCTCTAGCCTCATCATTTATTAAGCATTTTAGTCTAGATTAATTTTAGGTGACCAATCCTTTCAACCTAGAATCATTTATGTGAGTAAACCTTTCACATTCATTCAATCATGCTTAGCAATTCATTAGGGGGAGTATATCTTCCACATCATATCATCAATCAATCAACAATTCATCATCTAGGATTAACTTCCCAACCACTACGCCTCATGATCATCATACATGCTCTACTATCAAGCAATTAACATCATATTAATCACTTATGCTTTAATTATAATGCAATTCTAGTCATAAATTATCAATCCTTCAAGGAGATATCTAACCTATAGAGTTTCCCTCACATGGCATCAAACCCACATTTCAATTCAATCATAAAATCATAGTATAGGTATGGGTACATGCAATTTCATCCTAAATATATGCAATTCTATCAATTCAATCATAAACAATAATAATCCACTTAATTGGATCAACATTTATCATAACCTGCAACAATGGAAGAAACCCTAACTAGAATTGTGGAAATTCTTCTTCAAGTTATGGAATTCTAGGGGACTCCATGGGAGGATGGATCCCATGGATGAAAATCCATCATACCTTGATTACAAAGTGTAACATTCCATATCCGAAAAGTGGTAAGGAACCAAAGTTTCAGAACATAAAAGTGCCACCCACATGGACCACAGACGGTCTGTAGATGGACCCACGGATCGTAGGTATGTTTCGTGGGTTGCCCACCTGCCTAAGTTGAGAGGTCCAGGACCATGACTCGACCTATGGACTCTAGGTCAAGCAACAATCCGTGGTTCGAGACCCCAAATCATGTTTTCTAACCCAAATGACGGTCCACCAGAAAAGGCCATGGGTCAGACCACGGTCCGTCGACTGGGATCCGTCGATGGTCGTGATTTAGTTATTTTCAAGGCTTGTTGGGTCTTTTCCAAATTAACTAATTCCTATACTATGTATCTTTGCCTATATTTAGAACCCCTATATATGATTTTTTTACCCCTAGATTAGACCCATTTAATTCATTCTTCCTTAATCCCAAAAGAAAACCAATTCCTCTCAAATATTCTATCTCTAGAACTTAAAGAAGAAGTAGATGATTTAGCTAGGGTTTGAAGCTAAGGATCCAAATTCGCCATTGAAGACTAGTAATTAGATTTGAGGTATGATAGCTTTCATCCATGGGTTCCTTTCACCCATGGAGTCCCCAAATTCCTCTATTTCAAATGGTAGGATTCCCCATTTAACTAGGGGTTTTCCTTGCACTTCATGGGTTCCTTTGATTATTGATCTGAATGGTTTAATTATGTCTAAATATTCATGAATTGATGATTTACAATGCTTTTATAATGTTTTCCCTATGAGCCCATGCAAACCCCCATGTTTTCCAATAGTTATCTCATATAGTTGGGTTGTTGACTATGAAAGAGGATTTTTATGATCTAAAGCACGAAGTAATACAATTTACTTGAATTTATGATAAAATCCCTATCTAATGTTAGAATTCTAGATTTGGTGATTGAAAGTAGCTTTGAACCTTGAAAGGGCAAAGTATGAGTTTATGCTTGATCTTGTGAAACTAATGTAAATGTATAGGTGTGCTTTAAAGGTAAAGTTCCAATGATGATGTTGTGTTGTTAAAAGGTTATTCTCATAAAACACTTGCAACCATGATGTGAAAGGCTTTCTCACAGAGAAAGGATTCTTAGGTTGAAAGTGGTGCCATAGAGTTTAACTCTATAAAGTATCTCTTCTAATCCTTACCTTATGCTCTTCAGGATATGTATTTTCGAAGGCTTAATACTAGAAGGAATGTGAGGGAGAATGCGGAACAAGGAGCTCCTCCTCAAGCTCCTCAAGCTTCGATAGATCCTTCCGTTGGGAATGTAATAAATGCAGAGGTTAGGTCAACTTTTCAAATGCTGGCTCAATATTTGGCAACTCAAGCCAATAGAGAGGTTGTAGCTCCTATGAATGCTAATGTGAATTCGGTGGCTTCAAGAGTGAAGGATTTTGCAAGGATGAACCCTCCCTAATTTTATGGCTCCAAAATGGAAGAGGATCCTCAAAGGTTTATCGACGAGGTCTATAAGGTACTTGCTATTATGGGGGTGACTCCAGAGGAGAAGGTGGAGTTAGCCGCTTACCAATTGAAAGATGTTGATCAAGTATGATATGATCAATAGAAGGGAGAGAGACAGGTGGGAGGGGGTCCCATAGAGTGGATGTGTTTAAATTGGTGTTTCTTGAAAGGTTCTTTCCCCTAGAGTTAAGGGAAGTTAATGTGCAAGATGTCATTAACCTTCGTCAAGGAAGTATGCATGTGAAGGAGTATGTCCAAAAGTTCACTCAATTGACCAAGTATGCTCCAACTATGGTGTCAGATTTGAGGGCTAAGATGAGTAGGTTTTTGACAGGCGTGTCCGACTTGGTGGAGAAAGAATGTCGTATGGCAATGCTCATTCATGATATGGACATCTCACGTCTTATGGTGTACGCCCAACAAATTAAGAAGTCAAAACTCAAGGAGAAGTCTCGAGAGGTAAAAAGGGCTAAGACCAGTGATGGTAATTTCTCACATCGTAGATCTGATGGACATGGCCATCCTAAGTTTCATCAAGGGTTTTCCGGTCAAGTTTCCTCTGATGTTCCACCTAAGTTTAACAAGGATATGGTGTCTAACTGTAAACCTCAAGGAGGTAATGAAGGTGGCTCTTTTATTGCTAGGTTTACATGTGCTAAATATTGGAAGAAATATGATGGTAAGTGTCTAGCCGACACCGATGGTTGATTTAGTTTTGGGAAGAGTGGTCACAAAATGAGAGATTTCCCCATTCTCACGACAAAATGAAGGGAAGGCAAGCAAGCTCCTCCTAGCAGTTCAAACTCCAATGCTCCAAAGAAAAACCACTTATATGCTCTTCAATCCCGAGGTGACCAAGAGAGCTCTTCGTGTATGGTCACCGGTATGTTAAAATTTTTTCAACATGATGTATATGACTTGCTTAATCCTGGTGCTACATTGCCCTTTGTAACACCTTACGTGGCCATGAAGTTTGATATGCTTCCCGATGTATTGTTAGAACTTTTTTTGGTTTGTACTCATGTTGGTGATTCTGTGGTGGATAAGAGGGTTTATAGAAGGTGTCCCATTTACTTGTCCCTTAGAGTTACTCTTGTAGACTTGGTAGAACTTGACATGTTAGACATTAATGTCATTCTTGGGATGGATTTGTTGCATGCTTGTTATGCCTCTATTGAGTGTAGAACTCGAGTGGTCAGATTACAGTTTCCAAATGAGCCTATTTTAGAGTGGAAGGGGGTAAATTCTATGCCTAAAGGTCAATTTGTGTCTTACCTTAAAGTTTGGAAGATGATCTCGAAAGGTTGCTTTTACTGTATTATGAGGGTGAGGGATATACATTCTGAAACCCCTTCTCTTGAGTTTGTTCTCGTGGTTAATGAGTTCCTGGAAGTTTTCCCCGATGATTTACTTGATATTCCTCCCGAGCGGGAAATATATTTCGGTATTGACCTTCTTCTTGATACACAACTTATTTCTATTCCTTCTTATTGAATAGCTGCGGCGGAGTTCAAAGAGTTGAAGAAGCAACTAACAGATTTGTCGGATAGGGTTTCATTTGATTGAGTATCTCTCCATGGGGTGCTCCCGTGTTGTTTGTTAGAAAGAAAGATGGATCTCTTCGAATGTGCATTGATTATCGTCAATTGAATAAAATTACCATTATGAACAAGTATTCTCTTCCAAGAATTGATGACTTGCTTGACCAACTTCAATGGGCTAGTTATTTCTCTAAGATTGATCTTTGTTCGGGTTATCACCAATTAAGGGTGAGAGGGGATGATATTCAAAAGATGGATTTCTGAACTCGGTATGGCCATTATGAATTCCTAGTGATGTCATTTTGTTTAACTAATGCTCCAGTGGCGTTTATGGACTTGATGGATAGACTGTTTAGGCAATACCGAGACATATTCGTGATTGTGTTTATCGATGATATTTTGGTCTATTCAAGAAGTGAGAATGAACATATGGACCATTTAAAAATAGTATTAAAAGTTCTTAAGGACCAATAACTTTTTCAAAAGTTTAGCAAGTGTGAATTTTGGTTAAGGTCCGTAGCTTTCCTTGGTCATATTGTGTCAAGCAAGGGGTTTGAGGTAGACCCTAGGAAGAAGGATGCAATTAAGAGTTTGCCTAGACCTCTAACTCCTTCCGACATTAAAAGCTTTTTGGGTTTGGCCGTTTACCATAGAAGGTTTGTTGAGGGATTTTCGTCCATTGCTTCTCCTTTGACGGCTTTGACTCAAAAGAAGACTAAGTTTATGTGGTCGGAAGCTTGTGAGATAAGTTTCCAAGAGTTGAAAGATAGACTTACTTCCACTCCGGTGTTGACTTACCGGAAGGTACATATGGTTTTGTGGTGTATTGTGATACCTCTAGAGTTGGGTTGGGATGCATGCTTATGAAAAATGATAAGGTGATTGCTTATGCTTCAAGGCAACTTAAGATCCATGAGAAGAATTATCCTACCCATGACCTTAAGTTAGCGGCGATTGTGTTTGGCTTAAAAATATGGAGGCATTATTTGTATGGGTCCATGTTGTTGTTTTCACCAATCATAAGAGTCTATAATACATGTTTTGTCAAAAGGACTTAAATCTCTGCCAAAGGATGTGGCTAGAACTCTTGAAGGATTATGACATCAGTGTCCTTTATCACCCCGGTAAAACTAATGTGGTAGTGGATGCTCTTAGTAGATTGGAAATGGGTAGTGTGGCTCATGTAGATGAAGTAAAGAAAGAGTTGGTCCGTGATGTCCATAGGTTGGCCCGACTAGGTATTTAACTAGTGGATTCCTCCAAGGGTGGATTCATGGTCCATAGTGGGTTCGAAACGTCTTTTGTGATGGATGTGAAGACTAAGCAAGGTCTTGATCCCATTTTGGTTGAATTGAAAGAGTTGGTACTAAAAAAGTCCATTGAGGCTTTCTCCCAAGTGGGAGATGGGGTACTTAGGTACCAAGGTCGGTTATGTGTTCTGAATATTGATGACTTGAGGGAACAAATTTTTGAGGAAGCCCATAGTTCTCAGTATTCTATTCACCCAGGAGCCACCAAGATGTATCGTGACCTACATGAGGTCTATTGGTGGAATGGAATGAAAAGAGATATTCCGAGATTTGTGGCCAAATGTCTAAATGTCAACAAGTGAAAGTTGAGCACCAAAGGCCGGGAGGTTTATCCTAAGATATTGCAATTCACACATGGAAGTGGGAAGACTTGAACATGGACTTTATAGTTGGTTTGCCTCGCACCCGGTGACAACATGACTCTATCTGGGTAATCGGCTCATTTCCTTCTTGTCAAAGTTTCTTATTCGGCAGAAGACTATGCTAAGATATACTTGAGATTCATATTAAAATTGCATGGTATGCCTTCGTCTATCATTTACGATCGTGGTACCCAATTCACTTCTCAATTTTGGAAGACTTTCCAAAAGTATCTAGGTACCAAGGTTAATCTTAGCACGACTTTTCATCCCCAAACTGATGGGCAAGCGGAGCGTACTATTCAGACTTTGGAAGACATATTGAGGGCTTGTGTGATTGATTTTAAGGGTAATTGGGATGACAATTTGCCATTGATAGAATTTGCCTATAATAATAGGTATCACTCTAATATTGGTATGGCTCCCTTTAAGGCTCTTTATGGTAGAAGGTGTAGATAACCTACAGGGTTTTTTGAGGTGAGTGAAGTTGCCTTGATAGGTCTCTAGCTAGTCTATGAAGGTATTGAGAAAGTCCGGCTTATTAGAGAAAGGTTGGAAATGGCCCAAAAGTCGGCAAAAGTCTTATACCGATGTTAGAAGGAGGATCTTGAATTTGAGGTTCATGATTGGGTTTATTTGACAATTTCTCCCATGAAGGGTGTTGTGAGGTTTTGAAAGAAAGGAAACCTTAGTCCCTATTTTGTAGCCCCATATAAGATTTTGAGGCGTGTTGTCAAGGTTGTATATGAGCTAGATTTGCCAAATGAGTTGGCATCGATGCATCCGATTTTCCATGTCTCTATGCTTAAGAAGTGTGTTGGAGATCCAACATCCATAGTTTCCTTAGAGGGTTTGGAGGTTAATGTGAATGTTGCTTAAGAGGAGGTACCGGTTGAGATCTTAGACCGGCAAGTCAAAAAGTTGAGAAACAAGGAAGTCAATTTCTCCCATGAAGGGTGTTGTGAGGTTTTGAAAGAAAGGAAACCTTAGTCCCTATTTTGTAGCCCCATATAAGATTTTGAGGCGTGTTGTCAAGGTTGTATATGAGCTAGATTTGCCAAATGAGTTGGCATCGATGCATCCGATTTTCCATGTCTCTATGCTTAAGAAGTGTGTTGGAGATCCAACATCCATAGTTTCCTTAGAGGGTTTGGAGGTTAAAGAGAATGTTGCTTAAGAGGAGGTACCGGTTGAGATCTTAGACCGGCAAGTCAAAAAGTTGAGAAACAAGGAAGTTGCCTCCATGAATGTTCTATGGAGGAATCACTTAGTTGAGGGTGCTACTTGGCACGCCGAGGCCGCTATGTAGTCCCGATATCCTCATCTCTTTCCTTCTACTCCTACTCTAGCTTGAGGTAATGAGTTCCTTTTGGGTTGTTTTATATGTTGGGAGTCATGTGTTTCCATGATTTCCTTATGATTACGCATGTTTATGTAAAAGCTTATGTTTTCAAAGAATGGCTTATATGAGTTACTTTTCTCATGTTGTTGTGCATTGAGTATGAATTGCCTATAGACTTCATGAGATAATTGTTGAACATGCATTTGTTGTGTTCTTTGAGAATGAGTTGCATACAGGCTCCATGAGATTGTGTTGAGCATGCTTCTAGTTTTGAGAAGGAAGTTCATCCTTAATACATGAGAAATTTTGAATTTCATGCATATTGGGTTGCTAGATATTGTTCTTACTTTCTTTTGATGCATTGGAGTATGATGAGTTTGGGGTTGATGTTTTGTCCTTATTTTCTGAGCATTGCATGCATAGGGGGCTGATAGAGTTATTTCACCCCTCCTTTGATGCTTTGAGAACATCCTAGCTTAGAGTCGATAATTCCTCTTTGGTTGATTGGATTGCATCGTAGGTTGGGTTGTTAGTTCCTCTTATACTCTTTTAGAACCAGTTTAAATCTCATTCGAGGATGAATGGTCCCAAGGGGGAGATATTGTAACACCCCGTATCCGAAAAGTGGAAAGGAACCAAAATTTCATAACCTGCAGGGGCCACCCACGAGGACAAGAGACGGTCGTAGGTGGACCTACAGATAATAGGTGGGTTCCGTGGGTTGGCCAACCTGCCTAAGTTCAGATGTCCAGGACCACGACTCGACCTATAGACCATAGGTCAAGCCACGGTCTATGGTCGGGTTCCATGGTTCGAGACCCCAAATCATGGTCTCAGATCCCAAACGACGGTCAACCAGGACGGGCAGTGGGTCAGACCACGGTCCATCGACTGGGGTCCGTGGATGGTCGTCAGTTAGTTATTTTTAGGGTTAGTTGGGTCTTTTCCTAATTAATTAATTCATATACTATGTCGTTTTGCCTATTTTTAGAACCACTATATAAGCCTTTTTACCCCTCAAAATTAGACCTATTTAATTCATTCTTCCTAAATCCAAAAAGAAAACTAACTCCTATCAAATATTCTCTCTCTAGAACTTAAAGAAGAAGAAGAAGATTCAGCTAGGGTTTGAAGCTAAGGATCCAAATTCTCCATTGAAGACTAGTAATTGGAGTCAAGGTATGATAGCTTTCATCCATGAGTTCCTTTCACCCATGGAATCCCCAAATTTCTCTATTTCAAATGGTAGGATTCCCCAATTATCGAGGGTTTTTCCTCAAACATCATGGGTTCCTTTGTTTATTGATCTGAATGGTTTAATTATGTCTAAATATTCATGAATTGATGATTTACAATTTATGATGTTTTCTCTATGAAACCATGTAAACCCCATGTTTTCCAATTGTGATCTCATATAGTTGGGTTGTTGATTATGAAAGAAGAGTTTTGTGATCTAAAGCATGCAGTAATAGAACTTACTTGAATTTATGATAAAATCCCTATCTAATGTTAGAATGCTAGATTTGGTGAATGAAAGTAGCATTGAACCTTGAAAGGGCAAAGTATGAGTTTATGCATGATCTTATAAAGCCTATATAAATGTTTTAAGGGTACTTTGAGAGTAAAGTGCCAATGATGTTGATGTTGTGTTGTTGAAAGATTATTCTCTTAAAACACTTACATACATGATGTTAAAGTTTTTATCACATAGAAGGGATTCTTATGTTGAAAGGGTATTTTCACCTAATTGAATCAATGGATAAGAGGTACCCTAATGAACCAGATTGGATTGGCAAGATGACATGCCTTTCCATGAATAACGAGAATAAGTTTGAAAATACTATTCTGTGGGAATTATGCTTAGCACCGAGTGGATATTGACATTGAGAGGGAAGATCTCTCGTGAGTAGAGGTCGGGTTTCTAGAAGAACTCTCATTAGATCGAAGCTCTCCTGTGAGTAGAAGCGGGGTTTCTAGTAGAAATCTCCTTATCCCATAACTATGTCCCCTCATA